ACATACATGTGCAGAGTATGGCTCTCTTGGGCTCCAGAACTTTCCATTCCTTTCAGATACAGTTAAGTTCGTAGTTTGGCTTTTAAGAATCACAAATAATAGGAAACTCAATACATTAAAGAAAGAAATGAAGATACAACCAGTCCTTTGTGTTTAAACTAAAAGCATGTTTCTTTTACTTAAGTTCTTAAGCTGAAATCTCGGTGCAATTGGCTTTCCTTTTTCCTGCAAAGAAACTTCAAATTCCTCCGTTTGACGTGGTCAATATGTTTCTGCTGATTGCCTTTTTGTTTGCTATTTCCTATTAACAAACTTGCCAGTTTATATGCTCCGCTCATTTGTTCTGCTGTCTTGTTACTCACCCTTGACTGAAAGAATTTGAGTTTATTAAAATGTAAAATGTTAAGAAATGTACATGCTACGCAAATTAGCGAGGAGACAAATTGCTGCAGCTTGTAATAAAAAGTAGATTAATTAAAAAGTTACAATCGTACAGAAAAATATGTGATTTAAAGGAGTAAAACCACTTACTCATTCCTCTCAGGTGATCCCGGCTATTGGTGATAAGAGCCAGCGCTGCATTGTTTTCCTCCACTTGCGCTGAGTGAAAAAGCAAATAGTTTTTTTCTCGTAGCAGTTTGCAAAAATGATGGTTGAAGCTGTTTAGCCCAAGGATGGGCCATTTTTACTGATGAGATGACACGTTTGCTTAATCAGTCATGATCAATGGCATTGCTTGCCCCACCCGATGGTTCCCGTAGGTCAGATTTACTATCTCCTCCATGCTACAGTATATAAACACCTTCAGAATGTGCAAATCCTTAACATGTGGTGTGGTTTGTTTAGCCTCTGACCATGGAAATGGGCCAGGAGTGATTAAGAGTGAGAAAACAAGAGGTTTCTGCACAGTCCAGCTTATGGCACGCCATTGAAAATCAATAACACTACTTCCATTAATTGTATGTGGTCACTAATTGGTTAGGTCTATTTATAGCGAATGCCAGTCCTATAGATCCAAATTATCAGTCACAAATGCTCATGAGGGCAGACTCTGGTGGAGGTGCAAGTGGACGATGGAATTACTGTGAAGAACGGATGACCTGTGTCTGAGCGGGCAGAGTTGCACGATGCTGGCGAATCTGGTGCAGTGAGACTGGCTGATGCGTGCCCCTAAAAGAGAACAGGTCTATCTTTGTCCTTATCAACCTCACTGGCGAGGGAGAACTTATCTGGACCTCAGATCACTCCAGATGGCATGTGATCCCTGCAACCCACAAACCTTTCCACTACAATAAGATGGCGACCCTGAAAAGGGATGCATCACAAAGACACTATATCGCTAAAGGGGGGCAAGATGAGACCACAACATGAGGGTGCGTGGACAGATCTGTTGATGAGGCCTGGGCTCGCTCAAAGCCTAGCCTAATAAGCAGAGGACAGCTGAGCGGAGAGAAAGAGGCTGCCAGATCTTGTCCCCTAGGACAGGTTCTGTGTCAGTACTGGCCCAAATTAAGAGGGAGTGCAGAGAAAACTGGGCCTTGACGAGGGCTGGATCTCCTACTGGCTTCCATTCAGTGCTGGAGATTGCACCACTCACCCTGCAGCACTTACCCACAATGCTGCTGTCCATCTGTTGATTCACTTATCAGGAAGCAGTGCTGTGTGTGTGTTTGTGTGTGTCTGTATGTATGTCTGCATATGTGCATGTGGGGCTTTGCCTGTGTGTGTTGCTGAGAATGGATGCTATACCTTGGGAGAGGTGTCTGTACCAGGACAGATAGGGAGGGAATAGAATTAAAAAGGATGAGGCAAATCCCACCAGTGACTAGATCTCTCATTCAAACAGCAATTGTACTTAAGCAACGAGTGCGTGAGCACTGTCATGTTGTCCTCTGAGTGAAAGGTTTTGCACGTACTGTAGCGCCGTGCTTCACAAAGACAAGACAAATTCTCACGGGCAGAAAAAAAAGGAAAAGAAAAGGTTGCCGTGCACGTATGTGTGTGTGTGATTGCATCTTGTGCTTGAACTGTCATGTTGGTGATGAATTGTTTGCCAGTTCAGCGTCAATAACCTCAGAGAATGCTAATTTCTTATTGAGAGCAGTATTTCAACAAGTGTCTAAGCTATGTCTGATGTATCCCACCATAACGATTGAATATCCGTAAGGCAATCAGAAACAAACTTTTAACATATACATAAGATTGGAAAGAGCCTTCCCCCTGTCATCCAACCGTTGTACTGGAATATTCAAAGTATTTACAGATGTTAAGAATTCTTGATTACCCTGCGGGAGCACTTGAGAGTCAATCAGAATGAGTGAACAGCCATTCATGATAGGGTAGGAAAAACACACCTGTAGCTCAGAATGTTATAGTTTACACACTAATGGCTTCTGACTGAATGGAAGTCGCTCCTGCCTGACAGTTTACGCTGTCCCACTAGAATGCATGATGAATACACAAACAAATGAAAACAGGTTTGAGTTTTTTTTGCCTCTCAAGAAATGTCATCAGATGCACATGCTGATTAAAAAAAAACAAGCTTGTATTACTGAGGTGTTCATTCCCCCCAAGTGGTTGTTATAGAGTTGTCACCATGAAAAACATTCACAAAATGATTGCATAATTGTTTATTTTTATTTAACCTTTTGTCGCCTCAGATTGTAATTTTGCTGAACAGCGTCTAGTTCTATGCAGCTAGGTTGTTCTTTCTCGGAACTTCTGAGTCAGTCTTGTATTAAAAATGTGATTTCTGTATGTACACCTTAACACACCTTTTGCCTTTTTTTTTAGATGTCCTCATTAGATCTCATTTGTCATCTGAACTATGCAAAGACCAAGCATGTAGCTTTAACTGACATCGTGGCATCAACAAAAAACAAAAGTTGTGGGTTTAAGGTCATTGAAAGTAAAACTGCAGTCACTTTTCACTCGAGGCAGAAAGAGTTGTCTTTTTCAGCTCTTTCGTAGGAGGCATCAGAAGCGGCGACAGGCAGCAGTGGCGCTCACAGCTGCTGTGAATGCTGCAGTGAGACGTTCACTGTGGATGAGGAAACAGAGCGATAACTGGTGGGAGCTCCTGGTGGGAGCTGGAGACCTTCAGCGAATGGTGTTACGTTTCTATCCTTTGGCTGCCACTTTCCTACCAGCACAAACACACACTGTACCTGCAGGATTTTTGCTGACATCCTGCCACAATGCAGGCCACTATTACCAGAGCCGTTAACTTTCTAATCCAGTGCATTCTCTTGCATGCTCTGCTGTCTTTTTGTGCATTGTATGTTAACATGAATTTCTCTTATTCACATGCAGACAATGAATGTTAATACCAGGTTTAAATGGGCTTTTATATTGTGATCACTAGGGATGGGTGTCATTTAGTGCTGCAACTGACAAGTTTTTTCATTATTGATTACTCCACCAATTATGTTATCAGTTAAATTGGCACTCCAGTGCACTCTAGCACTTCCATAAAGGTGAAGGATTCAAAATTGACAAATTGAAAGAAAGGATTTTAAAAATCGAAGCAGCAGGAGCTGAGATATCTGGACTTTTATTTCTTAGTGTGGGTCAAACTTTGAAAACACTGGATCCTACAATCCCCACAATGCAACTTGATAGTGTCTTTCATTACATTCCTTCTACCTGGTAAATACACATATCGTCCAAACTCCGTCCAAATTGTAATCTCCAAAGTAATGCCGAGATAACCCTGATGACATCATTAGGGTTATTTTTTTTCAGACTTTGGAGATCTCCCTTCAGAGCCCCAGAAGGCATTAAACAGGCTAATACCCCTTACAACAGGTCCTGTGAACTACCAGAATTCTACAACTACTACAATGGCCATAGCGGCCATTTTGACCGCTCAGACATTATTTACATATAATTTCAATAATCAATGTAAAATCTAAGAATGAATGGATCTGTAATGTTAGGATCAGGATAAAAAAGATCAGGATAAAAACATCAATAATATACATTGCAAAATGACCAAATCATTCAATTTGACTGTCACAGGAAAATAACTTGAATATTTGCTAAACTGCAAGAGAGCAAACTGATTTTGATTTTTCACTGACACTTGTGGATAAATTTTTCAGAGTCAACACAGGTGATGTGTAAAGAAAAAATGGGTAAAGTGTCCTGTTCAATTATTTAATTTGGTTTTAGGCTGAAAGATTTTTTGTTTCTTCAAGAGCTGGAAAAAGGAACAAACACTGAAATGATACACCGTCTATAATGCATCTGGTCAATTTGACTGTTATGACCATTCAAGGTAGAAATACTCAGAACTCTGTTGTGTTTTGTCATTTTAATAAAAAAAAATAACAATGTTAGAATAACATATACACATATTTAGGAAAAGTCAGGTTTTGGTCAAATTTTTAAACAGTCAAAATGATTGCCTTGGTAGATCTAATGTTAAACCCCATGTGACATCATCATATTAGTTAATGTGCTAATATAAAACCAATTGAAGTTATCAATACCTAAACATGACCTTTTCGGTTAATTAGTCAATTGTCAGAGAATTATAGTAAAGTGAATATTTGGGTTTTTAGGACTGACTAAAACAAGCAACCTGATAACATCTTCTTGGGCTTTGGGTAAATATAAAAGATTTTTTTTACATTTAATAAAGATGATGGTTATTTGGAATTAAATAATTGTAGATTCTATGACAATCATTGTTGAATGAGAAAACAAGACTACAAATCTAAACAGACAGAATATTTATTTCTTATTTCTATTGTTGTACAGTATGTACATTATTAATATTATTAATATTTATTACAGGAGATGCACTAGTGTAAATGCTTTGTCAAGTGTACTGGGGTCACATCAACCTTTAATTGGCTATTAGTGGTGGCTCAAACAACCCAGTCGATCTATTACTGCCCAAAGTGACGAGTAACACATTTGTGAATATGCATACACACATTTTGCTGAATCATGTCTTAATACTCGTGTCCCCTTGCCCTCTGCTGTCCCTGCAGTTTGCTCCCAGTTCTCCCGCGGAGTGTACGCCATCTTCGGATTCTACGACAAGAAGTCCATGAACACCTTGACCTCCTTCTGCGGTGCTCTGCACACCTCCTTTGTCACACCCAGTTACCCCACCGATAATGAGGTGCAGTTTGTCATCCAGATGCGCCCCGCCCTCCGGGGTGCCGTCCTCAGCCTGCTCTCTCACTACAAGTGGCAGAAGTTTGTCTACCTCTACGACACAGACCGAGGTAGGTGATGACACGGGCCTCGAGTCAGGAATTCAGCTTGAATTACAGCGTGGAACCACCAGGAAATGTACCAGTGAGTCAGAATAGCAGCTGCACACCAGTGTTAGCAGAGGATAGATTTACCCTGTAATACTTCATGAAAGCCCTGTAAATGCTTGAACTGTTAACACTGCAGTATTTCATACAGTAGTTTGGTGTTATGCAAATCTGAAATATATTCACTAGCACCTCATAACACTTGTAATAAGACATTACACTTTAAGAAACAGATGATCCTAGGAGCTATAACTTTTGGATTCTTCTGTTTCATCATGTTGTTGATATTGGCTCGTCTTTCATCTGGAATGAGGTATGTCACAGCTGCTACTAAAATGTTTTCTGCGGAAATCAGAGTCTCTGCCTGCCTGTGGGGGCTGTTTATTGTGTGAGGGTTTTTGTGTAGTTCCCAGATTGCATTGCTTTGTTGACAACAGACACTGGTGTAATGCAGCAGCGTGGCATGTGTATGACGACCTGTCAACATGGCGAAGTGCTCATTTCTGGGTGTTCCAAATGAGAAAATGAGCTCATTATCGCTCGATAGAATAATGATCCCCTCCTCCTCAGAAACTTCAATTTGTTCAAACAGCACCTGGCCAGGATATGTTCTGTATATGACAGACAAAGACACAATATGTCTTCCTCTTTGTGAGGATGCCAAAAAGGGTGGCTGCATATTCCTCCCCCACTGTATTGTTGAATTTGCTATGTTTATTTGCTCATTATAGAAAGGTCCTGACCTCTGGATATGCTGCAAGTAACCGGTCTTCTCTGCAGCGTGCTCGCTGCTCTCTGTGTGGTTCTTTTTTCTGATCCAGCCTCATGCCCCCACCTCTCTGTGTCTTGCTTTGAGGCAGACTTTGAAGAGTGCTTTAGCGCAGAGTCCTCTGTCTTTGGGTCACCAGGCCTGTAGGGTACAGAGCTGAGGGCCTTAATCCTCCACACAGCCTGCAGATAATATGTGGTTAATTAGGGTCACTCTGACTAGAACACTCATTGGATCTTCCCTGCGGATGCTAGCAACCCACACGTCCTTCAGCACAACCAATACTGCACAGCTACCGGTCCCCATCCCTCTGCTTTTCCTCTTCTGTCTGGAAAGTGAGACTGTCTGGGGCACAGTTGGACACATAGCGGAGGTGGGGAAAAGAGCCTGAAATACCAAAACACAAAGAGGTGTTAGGAGAGAAAGAGTGATGACAAATAGACATGTACTTTAAAGAGAGAAAAGAGGGACAGAGGGCAAAAGAGGGCGGAAAAAGTGAGAAGAAGGAGAAAACAAAACACCAGTTCAGTCCAGCAATTAAGGCAACAGCAGGCGCGTGTGATTTACAGCCTGTTACCTGTGTACGGACAATTCCCTGTGTGCTGTACATCCCTGTGCTGAGGCCCATGCCAAGCCACTTTTACCTCTCTCCTTACTGCCAGTGGTGTAAGACGATCCCTTATTAGTGGTGGGACATTGGCCCCAGGAGGGGATTAAAGTCGTTTATTGATGCACTCCATCCAGCACGTTGGGCGGCTTTGACACTTGGCTCATCAAGCAGACAGATGTGTGAGAGAGCCTCTACCTCCGCTTATCAGGTAGTGCAGCTCCCCTGGCAATATGGACACTGACTGCTGGCTAAACCAGGAGGAGTGACAAGGGAAAATAGTCTTCAAGGGTGTATGTTTTTTTCACCCTCTCGCTCTGAGGAAAAAGGAAAATTGACGGACAACTGCTTTTGTCTGTATTATTTTGAGTTATTTGTTAATTTTAGTGGTTCCTGAATTACATACACCCACCACCCTGTCAGATGAGCTCACATACCCCTTCATTGACCCCACCCATCACGTTCCAAGTGTGTTATTAAAGTGGATGTTAAGTTATGCCACATCGAAGAAAATATAGTTACAACATTTGCAATTTAATTGTTAAATGTTTAAGTCAGCTTTAGCTAATTATTTCAACATTTTATTCATTACTTAATTATATCAACTGTTTATCCATTACTTTTAGCTAATTATTTCAACCGTATATCCATTACTTTTAGCTGATTATTTCAACCATTTACCCATTTTGTTCAACTGCTTATTAGTTAAATATTATTCATCCATTACTTTTGCAAACTATTTTAACTGTTTCAACATTACTTTTATCTAGCTAAACAATTTTTCCAGTACTTTTATTTATCCCTAAATTACTTTTATCTAACTATTTAAACATTTTATCCATCGCTTTTAGATAATTATTTCCACTTTTGTGCTTGTTTTCATGCACTCTCGACATGGTTGAGAGTAATGGTGTAATCACTGACTCATGTTGATGGTAGTTATGTACTGTGCAGTTTCAAGTAGCTTACTGTTTATTGTGACAATACATTTAATATAGATCAGCATCACACCAGTGCTTTACAAATATATAGATATAGTATGTTATCAACTCATAATTTTAATTTCTTTCAAATTAGTTGAACTGCTCCAAATTCTTTACACGTACACTCTCACAACTGCAGAAGTGTACTCTGGGGCGCCACTCGTTGGGAATCACTGATCACTTTACTCCTTTGTTCACTTTTTAGCGATGCTGCTTTGGTTCACTTAATTGAGAGTCAATGAAAGATCATTGTGTTATTGCTCTACTGTGATTTTCTTATGAAAGCAATGTCTGAAAAAGAAAACTGACATGTTGAGAAAAGCAGCTGATCTCCTACCTTATGTGTAAAAAATCTTCACACAAGTAAATGCAAAAACGTGTTACAATACATCCCCGTAAGCAGCTGCTTGTGGCAGATTTCAAATTTTTTTGTCGATAAATGAATGAATAAACCTAAATGACCTCTACTCCTAATGTGCTACACAAAGCACCTGTTGCAATGTATTATTTTCTTGAGTGCCTTTTTCCATTTTAATTTGTATTTGATGAAAGCATTGATCATCTACTATTCTGGAAGCAACTTTGCAATTATTCTCCAAACTCCGATTAGGGAGTGAAAACACAGTGCATTCACTAGCCGAGTCCTACCAAGAGGTTTTATTCAGTCAATAGAAAAGATTAATTAAAACCACACTATTCATTTGGCTGTGTTATTGGGCTGGCAAAAAAATGCTTTTAGGCCTTAGCGTAGTGCTTTCAGTCGGAGAGTGATGGTCCATATGCTTCAGGCTCAGATGCACTGGTGGGAAATAGAGGTAGATTTGTACCCTTAATGCCAATATCAGACAGCAGTTTCAAAGCAAACGTTGTGATGAAGGAACTGCACTGGAAGCAAATGGAGCCTCCGCAGGCAGGGTTATACCAGCTTAATGAGTGGCTACTCTTCTTTTATCTGGTGTAATATATTGACATTATGTGAGTGCATGTGTGTGTTAATGCATGTGTGGGAAGAGACAGATGAAAGATCCAAACAGATATCACCACTCGTTCTTTTGAATCACCCCCAAACATCACATATGGCTGACCTGGAAAAACAAACTGGCATTCCTAGCAACACTCAATCCAAATAAATCCCCTGTTTTCCCAAGTCTTAGCTCTCTAAGAGTGAACATTGTTTGTCTGGCCTTTCAGTTTGCATCTACAGATGAATTCCCCCTAAAAAATCTGTACCTATATAGGTGAAGGTAGATGGAACTTGCCCTTTCTGTCCTGGCGGTCAGGTATGGGCAGATAATTGCGATGTCTGTGCGGCAGAGACAGATGATTACAGGCTTTATTGTCTCTCCCAGGCACAATCAACCCTGATTCAGCAATCTCACCTCTACTTGATTTATGAGTCGCTCTTTCTGTCTTTTTCACATCCCTCCATACCTCTTCCTTATGCTTTTAGCTTTCTCATATGTCCCTTATTCCTGTCTGCCGTTAGACAGGAATAAGGGACGCTAGCGGTGACTGCAGTGGTACAGCAGTGACAAGCTTTCCTTCCTTAGCGCTGCAAAGTGGTCAAGAAAAGATGAATTATGAAACAAGAGTTGACAAAGATAACAGTGGCAGATTTGCTGCTCAAAATTTGTCAACTAATTTTTTAAATAATTCAAACAGAGGTATATAAAATCAGGCTCACCATCCGGTAACTGTTTTGCTGGCTGTCTGGCAGATTTTATCAGCTGAGCTAGCTAGCTGATTAAGCTAAGGTTAGCACCATGAGTTCGTTAAAAACATTATCTCAATCTGACTTCATATATTTCCAGTGGACCCTATGAAAAGGAATCATAAACATACCTGTCAACCCTCCCGTTTTTTCCCGGGATTCTCCTGTATTTTATTATTCTTTTACAGTTGTCCTCTCATTTAAATATTTTCCCATAAATACCCCGAATTTTTAAACATTCTTAAAAAAAATTAAAAACCTTCTGGTTTTACTTGATATGTTTGCTACGTTCCCCTCCAGTAAAGCAGAGGTAGAACATTAGCTGTAACAACTCGCAATCACTCCAACGGCAAACGCCGATAAAACAAGAAGAACAGCAGCATAAGGGTTCAAGGAAGAATGAACTTGAGAGGGATGGAGTACCTGCTGAGAAGGTAAAAATTTTGTATCTCACCAAAGTGGAGGAATTACTCTCACTCACCCTACTTCTCCTGTCCATTTGCGTAATCTCTCTCTTCTGCCAATTGTCTCACTTAACCATTAACCTCTCAAAATCACAATTGAAGAATAATGTGTGATCTATACATAATCTCATTCAAGGTATATATATATTAAACTGGTAGACGCTGAGTTTATATGCCCTTTTGTGTTTTCATTTAAATAATGCAGGGGTGTTCACAGCATTTGACTTTCAACCAGATATCACATTTAGACCACCTAATTGTAGTCATTTACTTAATGTAGGAATGAGTTGACCCAATCATTGTATTTTAAAGCAAGTGGTTGCTTAGTGGTGATTTTAGGATTCGCTGTGTGTACCCTTGTCTAAATGTCAGCGATATGTGGACAGTGGTATGGAGTGGCGAGGCAATTGGGGGAGGATTTCCCTTATTT